ACCCCCACACCTTCCCAGCCAGCGCCGCGGCCGGGCCTGCCCGAGCCCCAGCTGGCCCACGCCCCCCCCACAAAATGCCTGGAGCCCCCATCGCACCCTGAGGAACCCAGTGACCTGGAGGAGCTGGAGCAGTTCGCCCGCACCTTCAAGCAGCGCCGCATCAAGCTGGGCTTCACCCAGGTGCGGGGCCTGGACACCTGGGTTCTCTGGGCAGTGGGAGACTAGGGGGTGAGGATAGGTGGGGCCGGAGCCCAGATGCCTGGGTTCTCTGGGCACTGGGGGTCTAGGGGGTGAGGACGGGGGGCCTGGGAGCCCAGCTGCCTGGGTTCCGCTCTGGGTCCGATGGGTCAGAGTGGGGATGGGCAAGGCCTCCAGTTGCCTGGGTCCTGTGGGGCTGATGGCACCTCCTGCAGGGTGACGTGGGGCTGGCCATGGGCAAGCTGTATGGCAACGACTTCAGCCAGACGACGATCTCGCGCTTTGAGGCCCTCAACCTCAGCTTCAAGAACATGTGCAAGCTCAAGCCCCTGCTCGAGAAGTGGCTCAATGACGCCGGTGAGCACCAGGGCGGGGAGGGGGGGCCGGGGGACCTGGGTGGTCCCAGGGCCGGGGCTGATGGTGCCTCCTTCCCCATAGAGACCATGTCAGTGGATGCGACACTGCCCAGCCCCAACGCCCTGAGCAGCCCCAGCCTGGGCTTCGACGGGCTGCCTGGGCGCCGCCGCAAAAAGAGGACCAGCATTGAGACCAATGTGCGCTTCGCCCTGGAGAAGAGCTTTCTCGCGGTGAGACACCCCCCACCCCCCCCAATGACCGTCCCACAACCCCTCCAGGACCCTTGGAGACTCCTGTGCTCCCCCCCACCCTGTGTCACCCCCCCCATGACAGTCCCATGACCCCCTTTGTGACCGCCCTTCAGGACCCCTGGGATCTTTTGTGACCCTCCTAACCCTGTGTGACACTCCTATGACAGTCCCACGATCCCTGCCGTGACCCCCATGACCCCTCTAGGATCTCTAGGACCTCCTGTGCCCCCTCTGAACCTGTGTGACCCTCCTATGACAGTCCCATGCCCCCCCTCTATGACCCCTCACAACCCCTCCAGGACCCCTGGGACCTCCTGTGACCCTCCCAACCCTGTGAGACACCCCATGACATCCCCATGACCCCCTATGACAGTCCTGTGATCATCTTTCACACTCTTATGAACCCCTCTGTAACCCCTAGGATGCGTCAAAAACCCCTGGGACCTCCCACAACCCCCCCATGACCCCCTCTGACCCTGTTGGACCCCCCCATGATACCCCTGTGACCCCCTCTGACAGTCCCATGCTCTTCTCTGTGACCCCCAATGACACCCCCATTTCCTCCTGAGATCATCTATCACACTCCTGTGAACCATTGGTGATGTGTAGGGGGTGCACACGGGTGCAGTGCACCCCCTGAGTGTGGTAGTGCACCCCCTGTGAAAAAGCGCCTCTGGCATTCTCAGCAGTGCCTGCGGACAGATGCTGCTTGCCACCCCCACCCACTGCCAACACCACCAGTGGTGTCTGCTGGTGGTCGCCAACCACTGGTTGGTGCTCGCCACGCCCCCTGCCTCGCCGCCAACAGCGTTGCCAGCGGGAGCTCCTCACGTGCCATCGCCACACTCCCGCTGCGGACAGTGCCGCCACCGCCCATGGGAGCTTGCCGTGCCCACTCATCCTCCGGGGGCATGCAGCATTCATGCTGTGAACCCCTCCGTGAATCCTTCTGTGACCCCTCCCAGACCCCTGGGACCTCCCACCACCCTCCTGTGACCCCCCCCATGACACCCCTGTCACCTCCTCTGTGATCCCCCAACCCTCCCATGACCTCCTACGACCCTGTGTGGTCCCCTTTGATACTCCAGTGACCCCTCCATGATCCCCTGCAAACCATCCTCGATCCCCTGTGACCTTTCATGACCCCCATAACCCACCCAGGACCGCCCTTTGACCCCCCCACAACCCCTCCGTGACCCTTCTGTGATTCCCATGACTTTCCTGTGATCCCTGCAACCCCTCTATGACTCCCATGACCCCCTCAGGATGCCTCCCTGCTGGGGCCATGATCCTTTCCTGGGGACCCCTGGGAGCCCCCTCCCCCCCACAGCAGTGCCCTGGTGACCCCGTGCCATGGCCCCCCAGAACCAGAAGCCTACCTCAGAGGAGATCCTGCTGATCGCAGAGCAGCTGAACATGGAGAAGGAGGTGATCCGCGTCTGGTTCTGCAACCGGCGCCAGAAGGAGAAGCGCATCAACCCCTGCAGCAGCAGCCCCATGCTGCCCACCCAGGGCAAGCCCCCCACCTACAGCCCCCACATGGTATGTGCCTCTGAACCACCCCCCGGCCCCGCCTGCAGCCCCCATGTGGTACGTCCCTTATAACCCCGCACCTACACCCTCACATGGTAGGTGCCCTATAACGCCCCCTGCCTGCAGGTCCCATGTGGTATGTCCCCTAAATGCCCCCACCTACATCCCCCATATGGTACATCCCTTCTAATCCCCCCCACCTACACCCCCCCCACATGGTACATCCCCTATAACCACTCCATCCATATGGCATATCCCCTATAATCCCCTCACCTACAGCCCCCACAATACATCCCTTATAACCCCCACATGGTACATTCCCCATACCCCCCCCACTTACCCCACATGGTACATTCTCCCCCACACCTCCCTCCCATGATACCTGCCCTGGCCCCCCCTCGACCCCATGCGCTCACCCCCGTGTCTGCAGGTGACCAGCCCTGGCCCCGGCGTGAGCCTCCCGCTCTCCCAGGCGTCCTCCAGCCTGAGCACAACAGGTCTGTTCACGTAGGGTTTACGGGGGGGGGCTCACAGGGGGTGCACTCTGTTTACGTAGGTTCTCCCCCAACATGGCGGGGGTCACTCTGTTTATGTAGGACCTACAGAAAGGGCACCCAGCCCTGGAGAACGGTGGGGGGGCACGTTTATGTAGGTCCTACCACATTTGGGCTAAGGGGAGTGTGTGTGTTTATGTAGGTCCTACCCCATCGAGGCAAGGGGGTTGTGTGTTTATATAGGCCCTACGCATTGACATGCCCCCACCCCCTACAGTGACTACCTTGTCGGCGGCACTGCCCCCAGGCCGGCCGGGTGCAGGCGGGGGGGCCCCAGCCCTCAGCCCTCCCCCG